CACATATTTCCGTCCTCGAAGGTGGCTTCTGGGAAATTTTGCCAATCTTGCGGTGCCACACGGCCATAGCGGTACATGGCGCCAGCAAAACGGCGACGCCGTGGGGCCTCAACAAACTGTCAGCGGTTTGCCCTGGAGCGAGCACAGCACAGACGAAGTGACCAAAACATACAACCAGCTGAAACTATTTGCAGAAGATAAAAAAGAGTTACCATCTTGATGACAAAGCTGAAAAACCCAGCATTGAAGCTAACAGAGTTACACTCTTGATGACAAACAGAGATGCGTCTCTGAAAGAATCTTAATAAATTACTAGAATGGACTCTGTGTTGGAGGGCTTTATATGAACCTCTATTATGGAGTATCTTAAACTGAAACAGCTCTGCGGGCTACCGCAGCAAGTGCAATGACTGGCTACACGCTTTTTCTCAGTCACACTGTTGCCATGGTCGGGAATTCTTGCCGCGTTTGCGTTTCTCCATTCCGCAGAACTGCTCTAGAGCCCTCCTAGACCAGCCGAGCTCTTCGGCCAGCTGCTTCATGTCCTCTCGAAAGTTGGCCAGCTGATCATCATGGACGATTTGCTCCTTTGGCCTTGCCATGCTTTTAGCATGCAACCCTGTGTGGCCATCCACATCCATCTTTGCAGGTCTTGACGGCTTTGCCATCCGCTTTGGCCACAAGCCTAGGAAAGCAGCGCCGGCAGGGACACGTTGCTCCTCCACTTCCTGCTTCGGCTCAGGCGCCTGCTCCTCAGCTGGTTCCTCAACTTCCTTGGTGAAGGGCGCCTGCTCCTCAGCTGGCTCGTCCTGCTCTCTAGCCCTTTTGGCGCGCCGTCTCGCTTGGCCCCATGGCGGCACTTCGCAAACATCAGCTTGAGAGGGCACTTCGCTTGTCATTGACCTCCATGGTGGCGTTACCTTGCTTTGGGCGTTCTGATCAACAACCTGCTCATTGCTTTGAGCCTTCAGCTCAGCATCGTTCTCCTTGCTTTGGGCCTTCAGCTCAACATCCTTCTGGCTTTGGGCCTTCAGCTCAAGGTCCTTCTGAATTCGCCCATGCCAATCGTCTCCCAGCATAGCCTCCAAAGGGTTCACTTCTGAAAGGGATGCTGGCGACATTGCGTCCTCTTCATCGGAGAGCGCTACTGACGTGGGAGCATCGTCGTCCATGACAGATTCCTTAATTGATTATGTGATGCACATTATTCCTTTCGGGGGTCACAACAGAGCATACATATAAAGGAAGGTGAGCTATACTTCTGAACCGCAAAGACCCATCGCCGCCCATCCAAAAGTTTTTGGAAAGTTTCTATTTCTCACCCAGACACCCTCATCCCAGCATCACGGCACATCAATGTGTATTCGGCGAGGGTCATATTTGCACAGGTCTCCATGGCTTGAGAGCGCCCAGCTTCCACGAGCGCGCCCAAAAACGTAGGTACAGTGAGCGCAACTTGGGATTCACAAGCGGTGCAAAAAACTGGATTCAAACACCCAACTTGGAACCAGCTATATATATGAAATTAAGTGGTCACACAAAAAAAGGTTTGGGGCGCGGGCGACCGCGTCTATGAACTATATATATATAAGCTCTTTCAACTTGTGGCAACCTTTGCTAGGTGCGGGCGACCGCATCTATGGGTTTTACCAGTTCTGTTTATATCTTATGGGGCTTAAACGAACCGATCAAGAGTTGAAATCACGAAACAATGACTCCTCCACAAGCATAGTCGATTCTGTGCCGCGATGACTTTTCTTGGCGACGTTCTACGGATGGTTTCACCCGGGATCCATTGCCAGGGCCCAGCTTAGGCAATAAGATCCAAAATCCAAGACTAGATCAGTACCCACGGTACTGCCAACAAGACAAAGTGCATAGTTTGTGCCAGCGGCACTTTGCACACCCGTCCTTGAACTTCTTCCTGGTGGGCACGTCCAGCTTGGCAATGATCTCTTCCCTCAGCCTTTTCCTCTCGTCATTCTTGGCCTTGTGGTTGGAAGCAGCCTTTGCAATGCTCGGTCTCTTCATGACTCCCTGTCCAAAGCCTTGCTTCGGCTTTTTTGGTGGCTGCGTGGCACACTTGGAAGCCAGGCTGCCCAAAGACTTGGACTTGGGGTTGGAAGGTCCTTTGGCTGGCTTCTTCATCACAGGACCATGTGACTGGTTTGAGCCTTCCTTCAACTTCACCCTTGCTTCCTTCATTTTTTCCACGCTCTCAGCAAGAGAGATGCCACGATTGTGTGGAGCCAAGTCATTCACCTTCTCGTCCTGCACCTGCGAGGTTGGCAAGCCCTCCGGCGCGCAAGAAGGCTTCGAAGGCAAGGCTTCCGAGGTTGGCACGCTCTCTAAAGGCTGCGAAGACGGTCGGTCACAAAGCGCAGGACAAGGGAGGGGTGGATCTGCTGACGCAGGCGGCTTCTCTGGCAACACGTCCTTGCTTGCTGGCAACGGTGGTGCTGGAAGAGCAAGCTGGGGTTGCTGAGTAGTACCCTTGCCCTCAGCTCTGTCAAGCAAGGCGCCCAAAGCTTTACCTGGTTGCCTAGTCATGGTCAGCCTGCACTCCTCTGAAGGTGGCTTGCCCCACTGCTGCATCATCATCATCATCCACGCAGACTGCATAGATGCCCAGAACGCCTCCGGGGAATGCAGTTGAGGACCCTTGTTATTCACCACCTTGCTGTTGGTCGAGCGTAGAGAGATCTCCCTGGCAACGTTGGCAAGGTCCATGAGAGAGAACGGCGCTGAGTCTGACTCGCTCTCGTAGCCGTCTGGAAAGGCCAACGAGAGAAGTCCAGCTGGCGCGTCCTTTGGATTTGCAGGTAGTGCAACTAGGTGTCCATGAGGCAACATCTGATCGCCATCCTGTTTCGCTTTGAACATAGATGTATGGACCCGAGCTTTCACGTTCAGGAAGATGGATCTGAGCTTCATCGCATCGGGGATCTGCTTGGAACTGCTTGAGTCATCCCTCAAATCCCGCAGAACACAAAGTGCGGCCAGCATGGCCTGAGTTTGCTCTGATGGACTTCGCAAGCCCAATTGCACAAGGTGGCGAAGCACCACATCTAAGGCAACCAGGGACCCAGGAGCCTCCAAAACTGACGTCCACGTCTTCTTGTTGATGTAAGGCGGGAAGGAGCACCAATCCTGCATTGCCAGGCGCCCACTCTTTGCGGGCTGGTGGGGGTGACCTTTGTTGGCATCAGCAGCGCCCGTCATCTTACTTACTTCGCGGCAAAGTACCGGCGCGAAAATCACACCTATATACATTGAGCATCCACGAAGACCCCGCGAGCGAAAACGAACGGAGCAGGAATATGTGCAGCGGGACCACCGCCACAACTGCGACTGATTCAGGGAACACATCCACAATGCACAAACAGCAACCGAAAGGAAACATGAAAACTGTTACACGTATAAACAGTATATGATACTGCAAAAGGGCAATGCCATGATGTGTGTACATAGCAATGCGCAATACAGCGTTTGAAGATGTAATACGCACTACCAGCCTGGAGTCGATTAACTAAAATCCAAATGATTTTTGTCTAAAAAACTGATCGAAAACTAAAAAACATTGATTTTTCCAAATGTGTTCAATGGTTTCTTAAAGCCTTTAAAAACAATAACAAATTTTGTAAGTTCTGTAACTTGTTTGTAAGTTCTGGGGCCATACCAGGCTAACTAACTTACAAGTTCCATAAATATTTATATCTTAGTTATAACTCTATAAGGACCTATCAGAAGTTAGCCAAGTTAAGGCATGTTATAACATAGGTTACACTAGCTTATAACATATGTTAGTAAACTTATAACCTATGTTAACTTGAGGGGCCCATCACTGTAGCAAGGGCAGAACATCAGCTCCTGCCATCAGAGGTGTCATGCGCCACCTCCGTGCACTTCTTCTGGCGACAAACAGCCTGCTGCGCTTGGTATATGTGCCAACAGAGCACAACCCTGCGGATGCACCGTCGCGGGGCAAGCCCAGCGGAAAGGCCCAAAAAAGGGTCAGAAAGTCTTGTCACAAGCGTGTCCGTTGAAGCGCTGGGCCTTTTCTCCTTCCAGGCTCCTCTTCACTGGGTGGTGGAAGGACATGTCCGGGTGACCGCTGTTACTGGAAACCACCTGGTGGGAGGCGCCTGGCGGAAGACTCTGGCTGGACTTGGTGGACACAAGGCGCATGACTTCCTTGCCAAACTTTGCCAAGCAAAATGCAAACATTTTGGTTTTGATACGTTTTTCTGCTCGCCTTCACCCAGCCACGGCGGTCCGGGAGCAGCGTGACACTTAGGTCCTAACTTGGGGGCTTTAAGTGCTTCAACCAGCCGCTGGGCGAGGCTGAACGTGGCGTGGGTTCCCACAGCCTGCACCCACTGTGATGCACATGTGTTGTGTTTGATTTTCTGAAAAATTCATGCAGGTGTTTTCCGGTCGAAAAATGGCTGAGGCACCCCTTTTTGACAGCGGCGCTCGAACGCCAGTCGCCTGGTGGTTGGGTCTACATGGCAGTGTCGAAGGAACTTTTGATGCAGTGCAGCTGGGGCTGGTCAGTTTTTGGCAGATCCCAGGATTTCATTGCAGTTTCTTGAGCATTTTGCAAGTGTACTCTACCATCAGGCGAGCAGAAAATGAATTCAATCCGTCCGCGTGCTGCCATCACGTCAGCAAGACTTTCCAAATGAACACACAGAAATGTTGTTTGACGCAAACTCTGCACAAAGTTGCGCCTGCTGCGAAATCTGCGCATCGAGGTCAACGAAGCGCTGCCCGAAGTGCCACAAAATCTGCACGCTAAATTTATATATCACAGGTTCACAAAATGCCGTGCCTGCTACGAAAGTGCGATGGAAATGTCAGTGTGCGATCCCGTTTCTGTCTTTTTGATGCGTTTAGATATGTTTAGATATACTGTAGAATATGTTTTTGATGACGGCCCATTCTATTATCCCAGACCGAGATCACGACTCCAGCAGGCTCGCCTTGACTAGACCGAGGCAGCTCGAAGTTTAGAGGAGATTCTGCCTCGCATCAATGGTTTCTCCAGCGAACCTGCGCCGGATCACCTGCTCTTGAACAGCGAAGTCTCGGTGCATCAACTGCAAAGTGGTCGTGACTCAGTCTCCTGGATCGCGGCGATGTAGGCACCGCTGGGCCGGATGAAGGTGGATGAAGGTGAGGTATAGCTTTCAATGGCTTTCAATGTCTTTAAAAGGGACTCATTTCGGGGGGGGGAGGTCCTGGTAATTTATTTGGCTAAGTTGGAAAGAACATGTTTGCGCTTCAAGATTTGGGCTCTATCGATGGCCACGCGGTACTTGGGACCAACAGAGTCGCAGCATGTCGCACCCCATCTCCCTTCGGTCGGTCGAGCCGATCCTGAAGGGATCGGGTCGCACGCGGCGGAGACCGCGTGGGGCCGGGGGGGGCAGTAATTCGCCACAGCTTTTGCACCAGGGCGGAGGAGCAGCTCCTCCCTGGCGACATTCGGGGCAAACCTACCAGATAAGACCTGACTGACCAGACATGTGATGCTTACTTTTCTCACGATGGATGGATCTACAAGCGTCAGTTCTTTTTCGGCCATATTATGATGAAATAGTGCAGTACTCTATCGGCTCCGTATGGACAGATGAGTGTAGTAGTTTAATGTTATATATATATATTTATTCGATTAGCACCTTGCTAGGGATACTATGATGTCAGCCGGCAGCGGTTGAGACTGGTTGGTTCATCAAGCCTGGCCTTACCAAAACTTGCACAGACGTGCCACAGATGGCTGCGGTTTCAGAGCCTGTGCGCGTGGCACAAGGCTTCTGAGGATATGCGCCTGAGAACAGTAGCAAGGCACGTGCAATCATCTCAAAAGAAGCTATCGCTATCATCGACGGATTTGATCATCTTTCAGATTTTGTGCTCCCAATAAGGTGGCTGCTGCACCAGGGGTTTTGACTCCTGGAATTCATCAATTTCTTGTCATCTAAGACTGACAATCAATATTTGGCGGGTGTTATACAATTTTAATTGGGGTATGCCTTTCGGTTTCTCATGGTTTCTCCATGTTGGCAGATGCTGTGGAAAACGGATGGGGAAACGGAAGGTGTTGTAATGTAGACTCAATTGACCATTAAATTTCACCCACCCGATTTGGATGCACGCACGCGGGTCCGCGGGTCAACGGCGCCTCCACTCCCTCCCGAAGTGGTTCGTACAGCGGGTTCACCCCCCATGGAATGGATTAACAAAACATGTTCTAGGTTTTCCACAATCAGACATTGCATTGCTTCTGCTTTCAGGCCTCAACGAGCCGCCTTAATTATATATACAACACTCATTTTCAGTTCTACCAGTCCACTGGCTACAGATCTTCTGATCAAACGGTTTCATTGAGATGCCACAAATCCCTGGGCGGGGCTGAGGGGCTCATGCGATGGAGGAGGATCTGTAAGCGGCATCCAATTTACTTCAGGAGCTTCCCCACAAAAGCATCAAAACACATGAAATCCGAATCAGCCACCGGTCGGTGTTACCAGGTTGGATCCTGCATTTCAACGAAGTTGGACCAACTTTTCTGCCTCCTGGGGTCTCAGATCCTACCTTTTGCAAGAAGGGTGGCTCTCCGAGCATCCATTTGGTGTGGTGAATTTAGCTTTCCAAAGGACGTTCCGTTCTCTTTTTGGCACGTTCGCCACGCTGAATTCCATCCACCTCAGGACCTCCCCGCGCGCCCCGCGCGGCCGATTTAGCGGGCCGTGAGCGACTGGCTCGTGCCTGCTACAGTCGCTCGGAGAGCTGGGAAGCTCAGTATAGTATCATGATGTATCATGAGTAGTATCATGTATCACGTGTATATCATGCGGTGATTTGGGGGTGTAGGGGTGGAATCGGAGGACTTGTTGCGACCGATGCGCACAACAGAAAGCAGGGATAGTTGGGGCAGAGTGTTGGGGGCCCACATAGCAGGTACTTGGCCGCTCTCAGTAGCGGATGACATATATATATATATGAACAATAAGTCCATCGCAGTTTCTTGACCTACTGTGCAGTTCCAGTGGAATGGTTATCTTTCGGAAGGACTTCCACAGAACCAGCCTGCGACAATGGATTTCATGGGGTATAATATGGTATAATGTATGCCCCAATCCTGAAGATGCATATGCAATGTTAAAGGTGGGCATCGGCTGGCACTATGAATGTTGCTGGTTTGGAGAGTCAGCATGCGTCAGCCCATCATCATCGGGACGGAACTCCTTTTTTTTGCGCAGAGCACAGAAACCATCGCCGGGTACTTGCTCTCATGCTTGCTGGCTGTCTCTGTATTTTGACAAGGTGGATCGGTGCTACTTGACCGGGGGTCCTGACCCTTTTCAGTGCATTTTCCACTTTTTGCATCATGAAAAACACCAGGTCGATGATTGTTGGAAACTGTGCGCAACGATCTTTATGGAGGCTCAACTCCATGGTTTTCTGTAAACTCGTAGACTGAGGCCTTCGCATTTTCGATGAGGCACTCCAGGCTCGCGCAACTTCGCATGTGTGAAGTCTGAAGTTCATTTATAGATTGATTAATTGTTTAATTTGGTCATTTGCTTGCAACGATGTTGGGGCAACAACATGGTTTAGTTTAGTCAGGGCTTGAAAGTCTTGTGGATATTATATACAGTAGAGTATTATATATATGTATAGAATTTATCTCTGCTCCAGGAGCAGCACCGCGCTCCTTCGGCAGCTATATAAATTAAAATACATTAATTTGACATTTGGCGTTTCCGCTTCGCACCAAAAATTGTGTGTTTGATTCAGCCTGGCTTGGTGGCACCCATGATCACGGGCCATGAGGTTTGTTGTCGGAAAGCAGCTGCGCTTGCCGTTGCAAGGGGCAAGTGGGAAGAACTGGGCCAGATTGATCAAGACCTGTTTATTCCAATACAGTAGGTTGGTCAATTTCCGCGGCTGGGAGGGGAATCTTGACCTGAATTCTGTCGACCCCGGTTGCTCAGTAGCTGCACACCCAGTCAGACGTTCCGTGGAGCGAGACTCTTCTTTTCAGAGCCATGTTCTTATATAAAGCCCTCGAACAGTGAGTATAGTAGCCCGGTTGCACATCGTTCTTTCGGAAGGCCCACCGTTCTTGTTGGTCTTCCAGACGCATGTTTTTATTGGCTAAGGTTCAAACAATGCCGGCCTATCGGCGGTTGCTCGATCAATGTATAGTACGTATATATAGATATTTAAATACCTGCTTGTTCCCAAGAGGTTTCTTGGGGACGGCCTCCGCTTCAAGCTGCGAAGGCTGAGTCTTCAAGTAGGCGGGGTTCTATATAGGAGGGGCTGCCCTGCCCAGGAGCTTAGTGCGAGAGGCCAGAACGAGTTGCCCATCACCGCCTCGGCGTCCTGGTGCTGGAAGCGCGTTCTTCGAACGAGAAGACACCCCGCCCCGCACGTCGAACGGTCGCCGCCGTTTCCCCCCGCTGGCCATCGGTGTTTCCGGGCGAGAGGTGTCCAGAAATCTTTGGTCCCCAAACAGCTGGCGCCATTGATTCACCCCTGTAGCTAGATGGTCCTTCACATCTCTGCTTTTGGGCGGCTTGATGAATGAAACGTCAATATGATTGTCCTAAAGATGTGAGCGTCACCTGCGGCACTGCGGACATCAAGTTGGGTGATCATGATGTTCCCTGGCAAGGGTTCCAACCCAGAGACCATCATCAACACCCATGTAAATGGGTACGTTTATAATCTCTAGGGAGAACCCCTAATGGATGTTTGCTGTATTTCTTTTCTTCCGCCGGGTCTTTGGGAGTGCTACATGCCCAAATCAGGGACGAGGTGAACTCCCATCCTTCGCAGAACTGGTGAACTGGATCATCCATCTCTTGCACAGATCCAACGGGAAGTTTGCGCGAACCCACGACATGCCTGAGGTGATCCTCAGCGAAATTGAGCAGAGGCCAGACTGCCAGATGGTCATTTTGAGATATTTCGAGAAAGTATTCTCATACGTCCTCAGTTCGAAGTCCAAGAGGGTTTAGTTGAACATCGCCAAGCACACGGCCATGAAATTATAGGTGGTTTCCCTCTAAGCTGGTTCATGAACTCAGTGTACTTCTCGCCGCAGACCTCTGCGCATTCGCAGGCATGGTGACTTCCTCTACGACACGTGTCTGAGCGAATGTCCAGGATTTGGGACGACCGACGCAGAAGATCGGGAATGGCAGCTGAGAACTTTCAAAGGGATTCCAAGGAGACTTAATTATATTGGTTTCAGAGTAGATGGCATAGACCCCCAAGATGTATCTTAAATAGAGGTAAAATGGAGTACACACACACAGATATATATATATATATATAAACCACATTTTGGCGGATTGAGCCATTTAGTCGCCAACAGTGGCGGAATTCTGAAAGACCAGGAACAGAGTGAAGCAGGTTACGTGAGGGAACCCCCATTGCCAGATTTTGTCAGCCCCCGTCCCAACTGAGGCCTTTCGAGGTTTTCTCGGACCTTCTGGACGTGCCTTGGGCCGGGTGTGCCCGCCATCCCGGACTTCGGACGGGGAATCCGTTTTCGCTCCGAGAAGTTCACCGAGAGCCGGTGTCCTGTGGCGACTTCGAGGGGGGGAGAGGATCCACAGAGACGTGCCAAGCCATGCCAAGCACCGAGTTTGGCCGAGAAAACCGTTCCGCCCTAGTGTTTGACGCTTTCAATGATATGTTATTGTATGATATTGTTATAGACTTCTAAAGGACTCTAAGAAATGGTGTGCATTTGAGAAGGAGCACAAGCTGGACTCCTGAACTCACCAGAGAGTGACTATCGGTGGCAACATGGAGCAACATAAGCTGGACCGAAGTCATGGAGCAGCGCTTACCACTGCGGAAACCGCACGCGGTTCGCTCTCCTTCGCCCCTAGGCGGCTGCAGAGGACGGCATGATAGAGGCAGGGCTGCGGACATCGATTTGTGGTGGCTTTTCATTGGGATGATGGAGTCAACCTAGAGCAACCCACTCACCGAGTCACAGTGAAGGGTGATGTGTTGAGTGAAGGGAGATTGTTTGAGATATAGCCCCGCCTGAGTTTGCAAGAACCACCTGTCGTGGCGGTCCCTACAGGTTGATGGCCTCGCACAATAGCCCCCAATAGGCTTCACAGTCT